GCACTCATTAGTGGAGAATCATCACATTTATAGATGTTGAAATTGCCGGTTAGATCCAACCGAACTAGAGCAGAAAAAGAAAAGAGTGATTAGAGAGCGATCTTTAGATTTACACTTTGGGGGTAAACAAAAGAAATATCTATTTGAATGTGTGAATCTCAAGAGCGGGAAATGATATACTTGACTACTGAGGGTCGGGTTGAAGTCAATCTAAGAAATTTTTTCCATCTTGATAATTGTTTCCTAGTTTAGATGATGATCGAAAGTGACTGTGCGTATACATACCGATCGAGCATTGGATAAGTTTAATTCATTGTTGGTGGTGGTGAATCTTGGTTAGGGATGGCAAAAAAGTTCGTCGTCTCGAGCTCCGGTCGAGCCCCATTTTGGGGCGCCGACTCTAGCCCGGGCGAGCTTCCCATTAAAAAAAAATTTTAAATTAATTTCTTTTGAAAGAGCTTGTAGGCAGCTACAAATAGATGCCTGTAGAGGCAGGAATAAAAATATATATAAAAAATCAAAAAATCCGAGCCGGCTCGGGCCGAGCCTCATGTTTTGGCCGGGCTTTGCTCGGCTCGACTTGGGCCCAAAAAAGTTCAAGTCGAGCCTGAGCCCGAGCTTTTTTTCGGCTCGACTCGTTGACATAGCTAATCTGGGTGTTGGTGGCGATGGGCATGTCGAGGTGGTGGTGGATCGGTGCGAGGATGCGGTGGTGTTTTTTTGCGATGTGTTGATTTGTTTGAGGTGGTATTACTGTCAGGAGGTGGTGGTGGTGGTTCTGGTGAAGACGATGGCAGTGGTGTTGCTTGAGGGAATGATGAGGTGGTGGTTGGTGGTGGTCACAGATTATTTGATCGTTTGTGACCATTAAATTGGTTAATATGTGACCAATAAACAATGTGTGACCTAAAAATTATTAATTTGTGACCAATAATCTGATAGACTGTGATCTAAATATAATTTGTGATCAATTAATTTGATGTTTTGTGACCATAAAATAAGTTGTGACTTATAAATTTTGTGATTTGTGATCGATGAATAAATTGTGACTTTTAAATTTTTGATTTGTGACCGATGATCAAACTGTGACCTATAAAATTTTTGAATTGTGACCTTAGAATTTTTGAAACCTGATTTTTGAAATTTAAAATCTCTATCCTTCATTTTGAAATGGTGCATACTAAAAAAACTGGTTTATGTATTGTTCCCTAAGAATAAAGGTGGATTCCTTCATGGACGCTAGTTATTAACATATTGCTGACAGAATATTAACAGGTAGCTCACGTAGATGAAATGTTGATGCAGGTTTCTCCATTTTTTTTTATTTTGATGCAGGACACCTGCATGGATGCAAAATAAATAAATAAATAAATAAATAATAAAAGAAAAAAGAATTCATCAATAATCCCCATTGCTGCCTAACCACGTTGCCCCACGACGGCTGCTTCCACTTCTCCACTTGTAGTGGGTAGGGGTTGGACAATTTAAGCCCTCTGACCCCAATCGTCCACTTCAGCAGCTACATTGCCTACTCGTCCAACCAAACAGCTTCAAAGATCTACATCGTTCCTTGGACGATGATCCTTTATGGAGAATTATATGGTCTTCGAAAACATTTTATATATCGACAAAGCTACTGCAAAAGCTATGGACTTGAGCAATTTGAAGAAATTATATTATATGGGTAGTGAATTAGGAATTGTTTGGAAAGGGATTTTTTTTTCTGTGAAAGCAAGACTTGTATTTGATGAATTAAAGTCGTCACGAATAGTAGATGACAAAAATTAAGGAATACAAATGTTTGAGTTCAGTACTCGAATCGTAGATGATACAAATCAAGGAATACTAATCTAGAATTAGTACTCAACTAATAACACCATAAGATGTAGCGATGTGAGCCACCATATTTTTGAAAGAAATCATTTTTATCTACTAATAATGATCAATTTGACCAAGTTTATACGAAGTAGAACCCTCTCTAGCTAGCAGTGGGCGGGGACGGGGGATTTGGGAGGAGGATGAAACCTTAATTCTTTTTCGACAATTTTATGTAATTATTATGCATTTGTTTTAATTAAGTTTGGTGTATCGGATCAGCATGAAAATACTCCATTCCCTCCCTGCATTGGCCAGGGACATGGGAGTGACGGATTAGAGCTGATAAATCTTTTCCTTTTATGTTTGGGAAGTGTGTATAAAAGTTTAAACTATAAATAAACAAAAATGAATAGTATTAGTGAATACTGCAAAATCTGTAGATAGAAATCCTTTAGATGACTACAAAAACTTTTTTGGTCTATTTTGATAACCTTCCTTTGTTGGATATTGTTTCTTTTAAAGAGCGAAGTCAACCGAATCAAGCAATCACCTTTTTTTTTTTTAATTTAATCAAAATTTCTCTTGAACCATAACATCACACAATTCACGGAGGAGCATTTTAGCTCCTGTCCATGCAGTGATACCCACAAAATTCACCGACACACGGATCATCCTCTTAACCCATTCAATTAACCAACGACAGATAAGTAAAAACTGAATATGAACTTAAGAAGTCTTCATCACACTACCCTCCATGACTGAACTTCTGCTATCTCCTAGGCACTTCCTGCTGTTTATGTTAGCATATTACTCTTAATGACTTGAACAGACATTGTACTAGCAGCAGCTTGTAAATTGGACTTTATGGTATAAAATCAGCATCAAGAAATGGTACTATTGACGTATTCAATTGCTTTCCTCTTTACAGATTCAACTCGTTCTTCATCACCCATGGACTTTTCATACTCGAGATACTTCTTAAATAAGAACTGCAATTCACAAAACCGAGATAATATGACATATTTTGCAGAGGAAGTGGAAGCAAAATATTGGGGGTAAAGGATTAATCAATCAAACCTTCATCTTCTTGGGTGGAAGACTCAAACTAATTGCTCTCTCAAATAATGCACGAATGACGTCAGCATCACCCACTCGGATCTCCTGTAATTTCAACACAAGTAACGTAGAATACTTGAATCCAAAATATATATGAATTATATCAATAAGCATTGATCATCATTTCTTTCTTTTTCCCTCCATAATTTGAAAAGAGGTGGGTGGGGTTAATTACTTGATCAAGATAAATGCTCCACAAATCAGTCCTCTTTGGATACTCCCTCAGCATTCCCTCAAACATGGACCGTCCCCTATCAGGAACTCCACACTTGAACTCAAGAATAGCGGTCTGTGAAATAAATTTAATATGCTTGTGTCGAGGAAGGCTTAGAAGAGAGCGATTTACGACAGACTGAACCCCATCATGATTTTGTTTCAAAAGCCACAGAATCCGCCTAAGCCAGACCTAAATGTGGAAAGGATCTAGCTCAGAATAGCACGAGGAAAAGAAGCGGAAATGCAAGAAAAACAATTAGCGTTTACCTTGCACGAGTGCTTAAATTTCCGCACCATTTTGTCTAGGAGCTCATCAGCCAATTTATGTTGCTCTGTACGATCATACATTCCCAAAAGTGCAAGATGCACTCTTTTGGGATCACAATACTGCAATGCTCTTTGAAATATCTTCATTACAGCCTCCTGAAGAGGAAATTGCAAATTAGGAAGTCCTAGTGTAGAATTAAAAAATAATAGTTATTCTTTATTAAATCAGCGTACAGATTTTGAAAAGGACATACCAAAAAAGAGTCAAGGATTTTCATAATACCTGGGGAGGAATGCCATACTCATTTTCTAAATTGAAATAAGCAACCCAGATATTCAGTTTCTCTGATTCTTCTCGTATATTTATTGTTCTCAAAGCCCTTTGAATAAACAAACACAAATTCATTGAGCGATGAGAGATGCAGAGAGCAGCAAATGAAAAAAAAAATTGATTGATAATAGTGTTGCAGGCTTTAAAGGGATGGCTGGAAAAGGAGAAATAAACGCATATTCAAAACATTAAGCCACTTGATTCTTCTATGAATCTATCCGTTTTACCCATGACCAAATGTCTAAGGTAAGAAATGGTTGATCAAGTTATTCTTCATTGAACAATTTCATGCTAGTGAAAGTGTCGCTGATAATTCCCCACATAAAGGACTCAATTGTATATGCCACTCAACCAAGGAAAGTCGATAAAGAGTATCCACTTTGTTTCTTTTACCTTCAATATATCACACCAACCCTTGAATTAGATTCAGTAAAGTTAACATTTTCCAAGTATCAACTGCACAGTGATTTTTATTATATGATGAACAACGAAGGGAAAACAAGTATCAACCAAAATTTTTGAAATTGTCAATTAAGAAAAAAACCATATAGAATTTGTCCTCGGCAGAATTTGAACGACAATTGAGTACATGAGAAAATATCATCTTGGTCCTTTCATATCTCTTTTAAATCAATAGTTGAAAGAGTTACTTTGTTGAAGAAGCACAAGTCAACTAAACTCTGTACCTCTCAGCAATGGATCGTGCCTTCTCAACATCTGCCAAAGATAGCATATGTGCCATGTATTTTATCCAAATAAAGCTGCTATTTGGGGAACTTCTAATAAGTTTCTCAAATTCATCAGCATTCCTTGGGATGTCTTTTTCCAGCAGTCTTTCCTCGGCAGCCCTTATTTCCCGTTCCCTGAGCAGAATAATTCAAAACAAATAGCACCACTTGCATCAAAAATTTGGGAAGCAACTAATCCCTACAGAGAAGTCAACTATATAAAATGGAAGAACAATAAATTTTGAAGAGTGCGTACCTCTCTTCCCTAGCTTTCTTGTTTGCCTTCTTGTTTTTCTCACCAATGGTATCTGAATTAGCAGCATTGGCCATACTTTGACTAGCATCATCCTCAATATCAAAGCTTTCAATATCATCAAGAGGAACCTCAAGTGGTTGAATGAAGGCTCTAGCTTCAACATCAGCCAGTACGGGATGCAGCCCATTTTCAAATTCATTCTGTGGCAACACTGTAGACTCAGTGACTACAAGAGAATCATTTTTTTCATTATCATGGCTTTCTCTAGAAGATATTAGCACAGCTTTGTCATCTTCAAAATATGAACTCTTCATCCCAAGAGATATTCGGTTTCTCTCTTTATCCACCTAAAAAAGGTAAGAAACGTAAGAATAAAAAAAATACAACTTCTATTATTTTAATGAACACCGGCAGACCAGCAATCTGGATTCCATGGAATCTGAAATATTAGTTAAATTAGTATTTTCCATCTCGTAAGCACCAAGGTTACAGCATCTTCTAATCAACAACCAACCAAAAATAATTATGTAATGAGATATAAACTTGATCTCATATGGAAAAGCGAAAAATATGATAATTTGGACCGAGTGAGAAAACAAATCGTAATGCTGAGGTTTGATAATAAAGTTACCACCATCATTTGAAGTTGAGTCCACCTTAACATTAAGTAGTAGATCTTATGTTTAGAAGGCTTTTATTTTACATCTTGTAAATCTTTTACCTTTTGGCTTCTCTCTTTTTTTCTTCAAATCTTATTAAGATCGTAGTAACCCACTTGATATTCCCTACTCAACTCTGTATAATACATGTACCTTCAAAACTTTTACTGCCACTTCGTCCCCTGCTTTATACTTTGTCTCAATAAGGTCTGCATGATCATCAGAAAGTTCCGACACGTGGCACAATCCAACCTAGGCCAAGGAAAACATCATAAGCACAAAAAGCCAGAACACACAAAGCCACAAACTGTCAATCGAAAATAATGCGCATGTCTGGAAACTACAGAGCCATCGACTAATTGGTTTATGAACTAGTAAATGCAGGCAGATAGGAATACTGAAGATCTAAATAACAAAGGGTGCAAAGGATGAACTGATGTTAGAAAAGATATCAATGCTCCTAATGACTTTTTGATAGACCCAAAAGTATGACCACTACAAGCCACCCGACGAGAAATCAGGTCCAAAGTTGATTCATAATTATAATATAAACATGTTTATAAATGATATAAAATACCGGGTCCAGTAGTTAAAATGATGAAACCAAAGATAATCATTCACTTACCAGGTTCGTGTGATCAATGGCAATAAACAAGCCATAAGATTCCACTCGTCTGATTCTCCCAGAAATAATATTCCCAACAGTAACACTATCTAAAGGATTTTTGTCAGATTTTGGTGCACTGGTTGCACTCAGTGTCTTGAGAGTCACTTCAACTCTCTTAGACAGTGGATCCACAGATAGCACCCTGCAGTGGGGGGATATCAGTACTTTCTTAATATTAGCATCAATATGGAAGCATGATAAGCAATATACTTACTTGCCAATAACGAGTTTCCCAATAGGAAATTCATTTTCTAAATTTTTTACATAGCCATCTGACAAGTTGGAGATGAGGATCTTTGCGTCCACATTGCGTGAAAGCATAATGAAACATCCTTTTGGAGTAACATTCTTAACGTAACCCTGCCCAGTGCCAAGAAGAGAAAAGGTCACGAGATAGTAATTTTATAATAATTTTGAGAACAAAAGCAGAACCATTGTTCTGACATATTGGTAAATTTATTCTAAAACATGAACATGCGGCAAGTATAGTCACAAGTGCATAAAGTTATCGAATTATTCTTGGAATAAATAACAGAAATGATGTAAATCTGAAGTAAAGTTCAGACTTTTTCACCTAAATCTGATGTCACCAAATTTTATGATTTTTTTTTTGTGTGCGGGGGTGGGTGGGTGGGGGACACTGTGTGGTTCCAATTCAGGATCATATATCAGAATACAACGTTTCTCACAGCTAAACAACTAGATAATTAAATAAACCAGCCTATTGGCCCTGTACACAAACTAAAATTTCAGGTGGCACTAAACTATGTAACAAATGAACAGAAGCAACCATGGATGGTACTTCTATAATATAATATAAATCAAGTTATCATCAGCAGTTACAATGGGATGCACAACTAACCAATAGTTTCCCAAATTTATCAAGTTTCAAATGTTTTGAAGCAACAGGGTAACTATTTTTCTTAAATGGCAATCCTCCATTGGTGTTTCTTGTAATAAATTTTCAGATAAAAGTCATTAAAGTCTCTGGATTCTGGAACCTTTCTGCATTATTAGAAGAAATCATCTGCAGGGGCAATAATATTTAAGAAGGTGCCAATGATTCATAGGTCCCAAAAATATATTTGGCTGTTTGCACATGTAACAATCTTAACAGAATGAACAGAAAATCTGACCCAAAAAAAGCATCTTCAATCATGCAAAAATCAATGCCTTTATAGAAATAAGGCAGTAAACTTTCAATGGACAAAGAGCTACTCATATTTAACTACCCAAAAAATCACTGCAGAATCAATATCTCAAAAAACAAGGAGTAAGTGAATACCAAAGCAAAAAGGATCACATATTTCAAGCAAAACATCTCTACAGCTAACCAAAAACTGAAGCACGAAAACATTCTCACTAGAAGAGAAGAAAAGTCCTGGAAGCATTCGTAGAGGAAAAGTTTTTGACCTGTACAAACATGTCAGGATGAAGATCTTCTATCTTGTCCACACGTTGGCCAGAAGAAGGGCTGCAAACAATTAACTATTATAAGGACAAACTAGGAAATACACATATAAGCAAAAATCTGCTTCATCAAATACCCTCATAAATCTATACCACTGAACTTCATCCAGTTAACAAATACAGTTCCATATTTGTCCATTCTGTACATATTTCACTTCTATCAGATTAACATGGATGCATTAAGTCATACATGCCCACATGTATTTGTACTGTTATTCACATGTATTTGTACAGTTATTCATAGCTTGATAACAAATATCACTGTATGAATTGATGCCTACACATCAATCATATATAAGTTAGGGATATTCGCTCTTAATAAAAAAGAAAAAAAAAAAGGAAGTAAGAAAGTCTTAGTGAACTTTGAAGAGATCAGTACAAAACTTTATGCATTTAGACACCAAAAAATGAAATGACTAGCATAATATTTACCATACAAACTAATCAATTTAGACTTTAGATACAGACATGCATTAGTTATATCAATTGGGCTTATAGCAAGAACTCAATAATGGCATCAAGCGACAGCTGATAGTTAAAAGATATTTAACACTAAGAGTGAAGATTGGGGAAGGGAGGGGATCAACAAAATGTTACAAAAGAAAAGGAAGGAATGAAAGATAAAGTATCTTTTATTCATCATTTCAATAGCAAGCAGGCAAGAGCGGGAAGATCTTTATTAGAGAAAAACAACCAAAAAAAAAGTGACGGCAACTAAGTGTAAGTTTGCTATTCCTCCATACTCTACCAGTCCCTTGACTCTCTCAACTTATCCCCCAGTACAGAAATAAAAATTTTCTATAAAAAAAATCCATTATTCATACTTAGTTAAACGGTAGACTTACATGCCACTACTGAGTTCAGTGAATCCTTGGCCAAGAGAATCATCTGAAGTTGACCGCAATGATAAATCAACATGGACTTTGCCCTCGACAGAACAATTAACTTCCAGGACTTTGCATTTCACAAACTGTCCTTCGTGATAACCAGAAAGTGGGTTGGAGATCCATGAGTCCGCCAGGTCAGTAAAATGAACCTTACCATAGAGGTGCCGATCGATTTGAACAAGCAATCCACCAACACCAGGAAGAATTTTGGAAATTCTACCACCAATGGCACTGCCTTCACATATGTGGCATGCTAGGAGACTACTCGAACCATTTTCTCTGACTTCCATTGGACCAACAGCCAATGGCTTCACAACCAGACGCAACAGCTTCTTCTCCTTATTTGCACTCAGAATATAACCTGAAAGAGCTTTGCCCACATAACACCATTTCTGGAATTCTGCAAGTTCAGCAGGCTCATATGTGCTATCAAGAATATACAACTGAGCCTTCACATCTAGAGAGATAGTTAGCCAGGCCCAATCACGATCAACCTTGTACACAAAACCGGACACACGTTGGCCATACAAATAAGTAAAATCTTTGGTCAGCAACCCACCATCCATGACATTAGGCCCTGTAGCGATGTAATTCAAATGCATTAACCAAAAAAGGTAGCACCAACTATAGGGGTCACCATAAAAAAAAAATCTAAAACAAGACATGAAAAACAGAAAAAAATGAATTCTGAAAATGATTCCAAGTAATAAGCAAAACTTTTGGGATAATTAGTTTCTCAATGACAATGTTGTTCAATTAAAAACCCAGATAAACAACAAGTCCTTTTACAACCTAGACGGATATGGGGATGTGTGTCCTGAAAAGCGAAGTGTGATAGGATGGATGATATGATGATATTTTACCTTTAAGCAAGGAAGGCTTAATAGATAACTCCCATTGATGTCTTCCTTTGTTATTTTCCAAATTATTACCCTTTGAGACAACCCTTGCTGTTAGTGTTTGACCAATTCTGCAGTTACTAAACGGATTCTCAGTAGAATTATCATCAGTCGCCTGTCGAAACATATTTAAATCATTTAGAACAACACAAATAGGTAGAATTTTCATCAGTCGCTGGTCAATACATATTTAAATCATTTAGAACTACACAAATAGGAAATTGTTGAAGTGAAACAGAACAGAAATCAACCATCAACCAAATGAAATTGCCAAGAACTGCCAACCTCTGTTACATGTATCCTCCCGTGAAATCCGGAACCAAATTTCACTCTCAGTTCAAGAGGCTTTATTTCAATGATCTGCAAATCAATAGAAGACGAGCATAGGAAAACCAGTAACAATAAAATTTTAAAAAGGGCTTTAGAATTAATTCAGTTCTTGAATGTTCCAAAGTTGAGATCCACACCTCCACCTGCACCATAGATCCAATGTCATAGCTAGATTTCTTCTTTGCTCTCTTGGAACTGGATGTCTCCACACCATCACTAACAGATTTGAGAAGCAGCAGCAATCTTCCATGGGTTGAAGGAGCTGGAAGAGCCATTATGGTGGCAACAACACTGCACGAAATAGATATTCCAATTTAAAAGCTATACCAAGCAGCAAAGTAGCTGACAAGTGGCAAGTTAAAGAGGACACATTCTTCAGATTCATTTCTAAAATGATCCACCACCCAAACACACACAAGGTAACAGCACATGCAAGGGAGCATGTAGGGGTGTCAACACACTTGGTAGCCATAGCAGAATCCGTGTACCAGGCATGTGAGATATCCATAAAAGGCACATCTTTGAAGTCGAAGGAAACCTTTTGATGTTTCAGAATACTTCACATCACCAGTCACCTTATGATGCTAAAGAAGATCAATTAATAAGGACCCCCAGGTCTCTTTACATTTCTCGTGGATGAACATCAGCTATTAAATGCAATAACATTTTTTTTTATGTTTTTATATTGATACAGCTCCTATAAATTTTGTTATGCCTTGCATGGTTAACTGATTTCAGTACATATTGATCCCGTCCCATATCACCTCAAGTTCATTGTAGTTTTTTATCTTCAAAACATTTTCCTTTCTAAAACTTCAAAATAAAAAATGAAAGGCAAATGCCAGCCTTATGCTTTTTACCTTTAAAATAATCACAGTATCTTATCTCTGATTGTCTTCTTTTAGCTTATTTTCCCTGGCACCTCTAGCATAATATGATAAATCCAGACAGTATACATGGCTAATGGAACCAATATGCCCTCCATGACTCGTATTTAAAAAGCGAGACTATCTATCCAACAATCTCTACCGGGCACGCATTCATTTTTCTGATTTTCACTGGAAACATTATCTATCTAATGGCCAGAACATGAAAGTCAGATGTGGTTATTATTAGCTTTGAGTGCACTGAACAAGTTATATGTGGTGGTGATGGACCACCTTTAAAGACACGAAAAGATCACCACCCGACTGCCAGCCCAGGACAGGAGGAGCAATTGCTGAGTTACCTTTGTCCAACAGTGAACTGCTTCTGAGAGTAGTTTTGAGTATTGTAATCAGTCAGCGATGCATAGCCTACAGTAAAATTATATGACGGAATTGAAAGAACCTGTCCAAAAATGAAATATCACAGTAAATAGTAGTGCGATTATTCTAGTAATGCTCACGAAGTAAATGATGAAGTGAAAATAAAAGGAAGAACACATGCCAAGTAATTTTCTTTCACAATCTCGACTAATGCATTTATGGTTTGATTCACTTCCAAGTCTTCGCGTCCTTCTCTTTTGCGTTTCTGCAGTAAGAATCAGTATAAATCACACAATAAAAGGGAAGCTGGACTTCAGAATCCACAATCTTAAGAGCACAGAACCATCTAGAACCTACAACACCTCACAAGACAAACAAATAGAAAAAAAAAAACTAATTGCTCTTAAAGAATAATAATACAGAAGCTATGCCCAAGGAGACATGGCAAAAGAGAAAGAGACCCACTCGATACAGTAGGTGTTAAAACTAACCTTTTTGTGAGTAAGCACAGTAGATCTCTCTCCTTTTGATTTATCAACAAACTCTAGCTTTAAAGATAAATCCACAAGGCGCTCAATCTTGGAAACATCAAGAACTGAAGCTCGGATAATGGAGCCCCTTTCCAGGGTGTTTCCAGCTACTGCAAAGAACTTTATTGTGAATATTATTTTTAAATATAACTTTCTCTTGCCAATTTTCATCAAAATGACTTACATTGATAATGTGATATGAAGCCAAACACGTCAATATACATCTCAAAACTTATAACAACACCAAAATCTTTAGTGTCATGAACCTTTCCCTCAATAACATTGCCAATGTCGAATCCATCGACCCATCTCAACCCAGAATCCTTCGAATCCAATGAGTGCAGCTTAGCAATCTGAGAAGACAGTAAAATATTTTAATTCCTTCAAGTTGAGCAAATATTCAATCACAGAAGCATAAGAGCATAACCAGAAATATACAGATCAAAATACACATACACGCACCATATCATTCCTAGTGGTTCCACCAACAGGAGATTGATAATCAGAAGACAGTCTCTAAGCAGCTTTGTCGAATTACTGGAAAAGTCGAAATCGTAAGAAATTGATTGCAAGACTTATAAATGTAGTTGAAAGCTATCAATCACTAATAATTCTGGAAAGAGTTTGTCAATGGAAAGAGTTCTCTAGATGCAGATCTCAAAATGGATTAAATAAGACACATTCATCCAAAATTGTAAACTAACTGAAATATTATTTTCCTATGCTCCAGCATTTCTGATGACAATTATTTTTTTGAATTCTTTCTTAGTTGCTGTACAAAATTGACTCCTCAATGTTCTGATATCAGTTTTCAACTAGTTTTCACAAGCATAAGAAACAAGCAAAAAAAAATTACAAAAATTACCTAGTTGACAATTTTAGCAAGAGCAAAGTAGTAAAATAGAAAATAACTTTATTTAAAACAATACATTATGAGAAAAAAATTGTATATGAAGGTGATCTTGATCAGGATGCCATGACGGCAATACATTATGAGAAATAAATTGCAAGAGCCGCAACTCCAAAAGTTTAAATTGAATTGGGAAATGACAAACCTGCTGCAATTGTACTTATCATCTCCACCAAGTGTTTCGGATGCTCTGAATTGTGCAAGAGCCTCTCAAGAGAACCAATATCCCCATCTATTTCCACGGTAAGATCCATAAGTCGGTCATACTGCTCATATCTCCCTGAACACTTCATGCACTTGATCTGGTATGTCCACTCTTAAAGAATAATAATACAGAAGCTATGCCCAGGGAGACATGGCAAAAGAGAAAGAGACCCACTTGATGCAGTAGGTGTTAAAACTAACTTTTTTGTGAGTAAGCACAGTAGATCTCTCTCCGTTTGATTTATCAACAAACTCTAGTTTTAAAGATAAATCCACAAGGCGCTCAATCTTGGAAACATCAAGAACTGAAGCCCGGATAACGGAGCCCCTTTCTAGGGTGTTTCCAGCTACTGCAAAGAACTTTATCGTGAATATTATTTTTAAATACAACTTTCTCTTGCCAATTTTCATCAAAATGACTTAATTGATAATGTGATATGAAGCCAAACACGTCAATATACTTCTCAAAACTTATAACAACGCCAAAATCTTTAGTTTCATGAACCTTTCCCTCGATAATGACTACAGCTTAGCAATCTGAGAAGACAGTAAAATATTTTAATTCCTTCAATTCAATCACGGAAACATAAGAGCATAACCAGAAATTTTGGAAAACTACAGAAAAACCAACCCTAAACCACAGGTAACAAGATCAAATCTCCTGCACCTATTTCTCATCCTTTGATGCCCAAGTAGATAAAATAATAGATAGATCAGATTTCTATGTACAAGCTTAATTAATAATACATGTTTGGCTTAGCCTAAAAAAACGTAATGTTACATTTTAAGTAAATAATTTGTCCCAAAACATATTTGGATAACTTGCTTCTTGCATTTAAGTCAAAAAGTACTTTTTGAATAGTAACTCTTACTATGATGTAAAATAAGCAACTTATTTCTAACATTCACCAAAAAATAATTTATTTTAAGCCTACGTTTGGCTCATGTTTATAAATACTCAATTGACTTTTTATCCACATATTTTGAGACACCCATAAATAGTATTCACTTATCCACCACTCATTTATACGTACAGGCTAATGTCCAAATAAATAACTTCTGACGTTTAAGAAAATTTAATGGAACCAACCGCATTCTATAGCCACAATTTAATAGTTCTGCAGTATAATAATTAATAGAAAATATAAAAAAAAAAATTAGTATAATTACATTTCTTAGAGAACCATCTATCTAGAGTAGTCGATTTCTTCTTGATTATCGAAATCTCAAACTGCATATCTCAAAGTACCCTATGAGCTACAACAGGTGGGATTTGAAAAGTTAAGAAAAATACATGAATGAAGGTCACCTAATTTATCTTTGTTAGATAAAGGAAGGTCATCATCTATATTTTCTTCATCTTCCTCTTTAAGATGATCTTGTAACAATGCAGTTGCAATGAGATCTTCATCCCGTATTTCTTCATGTACTCATTGCGTTTAATTTTTTATTAGAGATGTATACCATGAAAACTTTCTAACTACCTAGAAGGCATTAGAAAATATACATGAAATAATTTTTTAGTAGATGTTTACAAATTTATAACCTCTGCTAATTAATAAATTCATGTGCAAAGGATCATATTGATTTAGAGAGGTCGGACTCTATTTATAATTTAACCGTTTCTAAACACTTACCAAACATGCTCTAAAACTTGTTCATTGGAAGGTAGATTCGCTTAAAAGTAAACTTCTAAATTAGCAAAACATTCTTGTACCAAACAAGTTGAAAACATCACAATGACTAAGAGTTCTGAAAATTGATTTATAACTAGAAACCAATACCCAAAAATACAAGGAATAAAGGTGTGCTGAATTGATTTCTAGAAACAAACACCACAAAATCGCCATGCAATACAAGTCCTAGTAGGTTTTTTAATATTTTATGTCTCAAAGCCACAGTATATAAACTCGTGATAGATATCTCTTCTATTCTTAACAGAAGTCCATTTTCTCAATCTAGGTTCTCACACAGATATTTAAGGATAAAATTATTTCAGACATTACCTTGTCTTCCAAAAGAAAGTACTCTTGGATAAAAGATGCATCAATCGAACAGCAGAGTGACTGCTTCAATGACAAAGTTATTCTACCCGTTTCACTATTCACCTGGAAATAAATTAAAAAGAGAGATCAAAACATAATTTCCTGAAGCATGTTACACCAAAACTACGTCCCACTTTTGACGTACATCAATTATGTTACTACGAACAGACTGTCCAACGTAGAACATCTCACAAAGATCAGATTTCCGTTCATCAGTAACCTTCAAACAAACAAACAAATAAACAGATAAACGCAAAACATAAGTGGCGAACAAATAGTATCAATATGTATTGCTTATTTACATACAGCAACATATATATAAAAGAAAAGAACCACTGGAATTCGGATGTATACCTTGCTTTTGGGAGCAAAACCAGTCAAACGCCCAATAAAGCGTACAAAGCAACCAGTTTCAATTATATTGCACACATAACCCTGGTTCAGAAATGAATTTGGATACTAACGTCAGTAAAGCAAAAATCGCAATGCAAGAGAGTGATGTGAAAACTAACAAACTCAGAGATTCTGTCATTCTTGCTTCTAAAAGAGGCTATTTTTCAGATTTTCTTTTGCTATGCTATATTTTCTTTGGAATTGTAAATGCTAGATGAAGATAATATTGAAGCAGTAATGTGCACACAGGAACACATACAAGTAACCCATGCAATTTTTTTTTAACAAAAAAACTATGATTTAAAAAGATAGCAAAACTCTTACGTGCACGACTGAGTGAGGATGAATTTGACCAACATCAACAGGAAGCTGTTGGGCTGAGTTAACAAGCGACAACTTGGCACTGAGTACGAGGTTGTTTCCTTCAATATCTGCAATGATGAAAAACAAATTAACTGCCAAAAGTTCAGAGTCAAATGAGCAAAACAAGCAAAGGAATTTCACAAGATGTGTTATGTTATTCATTACTTAATTAATCTCAAAAATCTGTTTAGGAAAGAACAAAACTAAAAACACCTATGCTTGACGACAAATAGTGGAAATAAGTGACTAGAGTTCATCCATGAAGTAAAGATCAAAACTAAACAGGTCAAGAAAAGATAAGGCATAAAACCAAACTTTAAGCAAGCTGGAAATTTCCGCCCAAAGGCATTCCACATCAAGATTCTGACATGATAACCACTTAACAAGAAGACCAGTGCATACCAAAGCTAAAACAGAGAGCAACAAAGGACACCAAACGTCAAATTTCCATATTGAATTTGCCCACACATGAGACGGGAACAAAAGCACGGTCAATTGTGCAAACTAAAATCAGCCTAAATTGAGTATCCAGAACACCTGAATTCAATTATTCAAGCTCGGAGATGAGCATTTCAGTGGGAAACGCCTAAAATATGAATTCTAATACAAACAAGTGAAATATGACCTTTTGTGCATTCATGTATGCATGCATGTGTATGCGTGTAGGGCCATCTAGTGGACTGCAACACATTTTTGCTCTTTTTCTTAGCATATAGAAGCAGTCTTCCAGAGTTCACCAAACATATACTGCATTTTCCTTATCTTCTATTGATATCGGAAAAGAGACATATGGGACGAGAGTAATAAAAGAAAATTTACATCGACAGGCATAACCAAAGGAACCAACTCTTGGTTTATGGAATGCAAGTGAAACAGCTACTGCATATGTTAGATGCAGAACTGGTGAAAGAATAAAAAGATTAGATGACTACCAAGAACTAAGAGTTGATCAAACTGATATCCTGGCTTCAAGAGAGAATACATCAGAGCAGTGAGGCCTGCAATGCAGTTGAACCAAAATCACATCCATAGAGCAAACATGAGGAACCATATTGCAACCAGCAACAGAAATAAGTTTGAAGAATCCAAAAATAGATCATCACACTAAGAAGTTTCAGTGATACCATGATGATCAGCCAAGTGTTCACGAGAGATTGTGCCCTTCAGAGGACTAGGACCACAAACATTCACTACAACTGCATGAGGGGTAATTTGATCAACAACTCCAGTGACAAGGCTTCCGGGTTTGACAATGTTATCCCCAGCTACCCTGTTAGATTTTTCCAAAACAGAATATGAATTCATATAGAATTACAATACAAAAGTAGAACAAAACATAAGAACAAAGAACTATATATATCATTTGTATTTAAATCATATTAACAACCTGAAAGAAAAGTACTTCGGTACTATGATAAAGTATTAAATTAATTACGAAATGCCAGCAAGAGAGCAAATAAAAAGGTTAATAATATCAATTTTTTGAAATATATTGGTACCAAGACCATAAATGTTTTAGCTCCAATGCATCTTCAATACAGCTGAAAACTTTGCTTATAAATACAGAGTGTTGTGCAATAAATTAACAGTTCACACTCAGCTTATGCGAAATTGCAGGAGATGAAATTTCAATTGCACTAAAAAGCAAACACTTGTGTGAGATTTCAATATTACAAAAGACAAAATAAACAATCCTGAACAACATATAGACAACTTTTCAGAAACAAATACGCGACACGCTGTTCCAGTTTGTCACCTAAAGATGTATACTAGGGAATTTTTCGGATTATTAAAAATGCTAACAGCCTTGGAATTGATTCCAGTGAAGTTCAAAAATGAACCTTGAAGACAAGGTCATGTTGAAGCTGAGGTTGATTCGACGCAGAGCAGGAATACAACTCATGACTCTACACTTGACAACTTGTTCAACATGATAAATCGAACTTATTACACTCCCTGGATCCAATCCAAGTTCAGATCTGCAACATAGAAGAGCAACACGTTAATGCCACGAGAAAATGAAAGAAAATATCATAAAATTTAGACAGTCCTGAATCTCTCTTTTCCTGAGGGTGGGAAGGGTAGGGTAGGGTACAGAGTATGGCACGGATATATGGCAAAAGATGCAGAGGATTTGCACGTCTATGACATAGACCATTTTTAAGCAGCTGTAAACATGCTTGTATACGCAATGAACGACAAGTTATTAAATGTGACTACCAACTAAACAAATAAAACATCCAAAATTCTGTTGGCATTTCTCAGACCTAGAGAAAGTGCACAAAAATGCCTATAGAGCCCCGTTATCAAGCTACATTACAAGTTCAAGATAGATTAAATTGAGAGTCAGACAAACAGAGATATAGATGGAGATGTAGCATGAATGGGTGAATGCTATTTACCAGCTTTTACCATAACACAATACTTGCCAATATAGCACAATTCTTAAAAGAGGTAGCTCATGCAGCTAATGGAGTAATCTAGCTTAACAGATAAGAATCATTCGGGGAACGAAGAAAACATTTTCTTGTGGTATGATAACTATCACCACCATTGACTAATGAGGTCAAAACCCACAAAGTACCTTTCTGTTGGAATAGAAAAAAGTCATCTTAGGGAACCTCTTTTTGTATGAGGAAGGTAATGGATATTGGTGCTTGAATTTAAGAGGAAGTTGGGTGAAATTAGTACAAATTCAAGAGAAGCGGTTAGTAGAATTTTGTAAGGAAGAAGATGGAAGTATTCATCACATATAAGTTGATGTGCTTTAAGAAGCAAAGTCACATATATTCACATGACTCACTAGCCTCTAGATATTGTCCATGAAAGACAAACGAAGAACTAAAAAATGCGATCAAGCAACTTGTGAGGTTCATGAAAGGATGAATCCTTGGTGAGTCAGTTTTTCTCGCAGCAGTTTAGCAACTTTACAGCATTCACAATTCACAAGTTGGTAAGCAAACTGGTCACACCATCAGCCATTCACCATCTATGGCAGCGAGGCCAAATCTAGTATAGGATAATGAACAGCAGAGGAAATTGAATTGCAGCCATTAATGCTATTGGAAGCAGATGCATCTCCCATAAAGATATAATTTCCATTGTTTTGTTAGATTCTATGAATTTAGTTGTAAAAAATACATTCATAAATAAATTCAATATCAACTCGTAAATACATTCCATAAACAACATTAAGTATGAGCACATTTCTCAAGCTATAAAGCAAAATCCATAAGAAATACCCAATGCCTTGTAACTAACCTAGGGGCAAATCCTTGTACCCCATTGAAAAACCGGACAAAGCACCCATGATTCTCAATCTTTGTTATCCATCCGTGTGTGACTAATCCCTCAGTTGCATCAGCATAAGAACTAAGAATCTCAAGTTTTGACTTCACCTGAAATGGACACAGAAAATTTACATGACAGAAGAAAGACAACATAAATCAGAGAATAAGATAAAGGTGTTGTGCTTTCTAGCTAGTCCTTTGTAAGGGAAACCCACCAAAAGAAAATAAGAGAAACCAATTAAGGTCAAGTAAGAACATGAACAAGGACTGGAAGATTCTGGCACAAATCAAGTCCAATTGGAAAATTCTAAATCACCTTCGTAAGTCCAACTTTAATTATCCTTCTTTTGTAAGAAGTGTAGCCTGGCTGTCATGGCCCTAATTATTATTTGTTTTATTTTGGTATTTCGGAGGCAAAAAAAGATAATGATAATGGCTTTATTGTGCAAAGATAGACTGGCTACCATTGTCCTGGTTTCACAAGCCACTGCAGAGGCAAGGAGTGAGTATATAATATGCTAACTATTTGATATGAATAACAGCAACTGATCAGTGCAGATAATGTGTCACGCAATAAAAGAATCCTTCTACTCTCAGTTGTTGATATAGCAACATAAGTTCAAAACAAAACAAAACAAATTAAATCAAGATCAGTTAAATTATTATTAATGGGATTTCTGAATAGAACTTTGAACCAACATGTTCTTACAAATTAGAAAGGCATAGCAAAGAACCAAACAACTACAATTTTACAAGTCAAAATAGGCCCAACTATTGGGAAGAACTTCTTGCCAGTCGAGGTATATTGGCGAGGGACTGTAAAATGCCTATACAGTATAGATACACGAAACATTGATAAATCGCAATTAGAAGATATTCCCCTATGTTGGAAGCATCATGAAAATCGTGCTCATCTGAACATGAAGACAATTTAAAAGATGAAAGATGCTGGGCTATAAAATGGACCAGCAAAAACATGACCTTGTTTTTCAGTCATAAACACAACACTCTTCAATTAAACAACATGGCAAAACTGATGATGTAGAACAAAATTGTTGGATAAACCGGGTATTGCACAAAAGTATCAAATAAACATGAACTTGACCCATCAAACTTGTTATATAACTTGAACCTGAGGCTGGATATTGAACATGTGATGCAAGGTTTAAGCTTTTAAGCGATGTATGTAGGTTAAACTGAAGCTTCAGAACGTCAAGCAAAAGCTGATTGGACATAAACATAATTACATAACTATGTCTGAGCACGTGAAATGAAGAAATTCTTTGAAGTAAATTTGATGGCATTAAGCCAGAGAAAGCATACAAGCGTTTTCTTGTGTGTAACAGTGATCCGTTTGGATTTGCAGCCAAGAACACGAAAAACAAACTCAACTCCAACCTGCAAATAATTAACAGAACTAACAATGATTAGTATTAGTAAAAGATAAAACACGCAAAGGCAATAGGCCAACCGTTTCTATCCAGAAAAATGCTGAAATAAAAAGAATATTGCAAAAAGTTGTACTTAACAACCTGAAACTTCTTCCTAGGCTTTGCTATTTCAAACTCTGACATATGTCGAAGAGGACATAGTGCTTTCACACCACTAGCAAATTGCACAATCGCACCAAATATATCGACTGCAACTACTTTAGCTTTTACCACCATTCCGGGCTTCACATCTGAGTGAGTGAAAACTGAACCTTCAAAGGCACTAGCCTACTCAAGAGAAAGAGACAAAATTATATGCTGAACGTGTTTTCCTAGAGAAGAGAAACAAAATTATATACCGAACAGGTTTTCCTACAGAAAGAGAAACAAAGTAACTACATATTTCATTGTTAGAATGGAAGAAAATATTGTCATATATTACCCCAGAGAAATTATTAATTTGCATAATCATCAAATTGTGGAAAAGGGGGATGTCCCCACCAGTTGACAATATAAACACCACTTAAGCTGTAGTAGTCAGTATAATTAGGACCTCATAAAAAATACACAGTACTATGTAACAGCCCATCAGAAAAACAAGCGAAGACAAAATCATAGTCTAATAAGTCTAAAGTTTAACAAGCTAAAGTTTGGCTGAGCTTAACTCCTTCATTTGCACTCACCAACTAAAAATGTAAAATCTTAAATGTACCCAACTAGGTGAATGCATGCACTCATTTTGTCTCGTCTTTCTTCAATAAAACAAAAAATATCTCAGATCGAGACACATTTACTTTATGCCTTGGTTCCATAGAGACTTCCAGACTAAAAGGGTCAATATCGTCTATTTTATGTTTTAACATTTGCGAAGTAACTAGTACAACTAGCAGTTTCTTCCCAGAACAGTTTTGTACACAGAAAGTCTACTTCTCTATCCTGTTAATCTGCAGAAAATTACCAAATGAAAGAGCAACAAAGCTTTTCCAGAAAATTATTTGTACAAGTATAGTTCAAAGGAACTGTCAGCATTTTATTTACAAAAGATCAATTCCTTCTTTCATCCTAATCTGTAGGGACAATACTACCTTTGTTCTATTTAGGAGTTTCACAATATTGATCGACTAATAAATTAATAATGACATATAATTTTCTTCAGATTCATGCATTTGACCCTTGAAATCCATTTTGAAGTGTAATTGACAAATGGAACTGTAACAACCTTTAAAGTACCAGTTGCAAGCCCTTCCAAATGCCTAAATCCAAGTACCCTGACACGAACAAGGTTACCTTCCTTAAAACGCTTCTCCAGTTTTCGGAGATCCTTGTCAGAAACGTCAGTCACCTGCAATCCCCCCAAATAAAAAATCCACTGACGGATTATTTGCATGGGCAGAATGTTTAGGACTTGCACAAGAAGTTAGTAATAAACTTACATTGACATAAGCTGGGGTCGAAACTGGTAGTGTAGGAAGTTCCAGTAGAAGGCCGGACCCCTTATCAACCCTGATTACTTTTGATTGATCAAAAATATCTCCCACTTTAACAAGCTGCTTAAGAGATAGTTAAGAATAATAAGAAAGATGACTGCATATGGAAATGTGTAGGATACTTCATATTTTTCTTTACGGGAGGATATCACGAACAGGCTATTAAAAATGGACAGCTCAGAGAAACAAGGATGAGCAAGCGCGCAAGCTAGCAGTCAGAGGAAGCTAATAAAGATATCACGAACAGGATATTAAAAAGGGAAAGCTCAGAGAAACAAGGATGAGCAAGAGCGCAAGCTAGCAGTCAGAGGGAGCTAATAAAAGTCAGTAATAATCAATAAGACTTGGAGCTCCCACATATGCTGAACAACACTGGCACAGTGGAAATATAGTGTAGAAAAACTTCACACTGCTGGTAGAGGGCAAAGGAACTTACAGAGGATGGAGCCTCGTTACCAACGAGGTGAGGATTCAGCGTTAACCCAACAGCTCTGGTTGAGGGATCAATAAATAATATCCGAGCATTGACCTACACCAATAAAAAATATTAGTTAGAACACAGTAAGAAATCTCATTGAATTTAAAAAAGAATCATAAAAATAAAAATTAGGAAGAACAGATAACAGGAAAAAGATCCGCTTCACTTGACAGCTCCAAAAGAAAATAGCACATGAAGCAATGATTTTAAGTACGCCGCTAGCATCATATCATATAAAAAAAAAAAGTAGGTCGCTAGCAGATAATCTTATATATCTTTAAACCCGAAAACTTAAGCTCTGTCAACAGGTTATACGCAGATCAAATTCCAAAAACACTGATAGAAGCAAAGTGTATATTGAACAGAAACGAACAACACATTACCTTCTTATTTTCAGCATAAACATTGTTCCAGTTCGACGTAGGGAAAGTATTACCTAAATTAAAAATGTCAACCTGCAATAAGATCAGAAATAGACAGTATGAACACGTGAATTTAACATAAAGCTCAATAATAAGTAGCATCATGAACACAACCAAAATTAGCATGCTTACAGTTCCAGTGAAGTACATAAGGAAAGATAACATAATGCCATTTTCAAGGGTTGATCTCACACGAGCATTAACCATCATGCCCGGAACTAGAAGATCAATTGAAATACCCTTGAGATCCTTGGTCTGTATGATAAACATATGTTAAGTAATAGGACAATTTCCAGTGGGGGAGGATAAAGTTGGCAATTGAATATAGGTAGCCAAAAGGAACATACCACACTTTTTGAAATCAAATCAGGGTCCGAACTCAAATGGACTACTTTGCGAGTCTTGTCAACACTTTTAACAACTCCTTGTAAAAGCTGTCCCACTCTTGTCTTAATGTCGCTGCCTCCTGAAAATATCAAACAAAGGATGAACATTACATGAATGCAAAGCAAATGAAAAGCCAAATTTCTGTCATTGTATTTGAGGGGGAAATTCCAATAAAGAGAAAACGCAGGTGAAGATACCACCAAGAAGCTCAAATGAATAAAAAAAAGGAGCGAATCAAATGACTTCAATTCACCGCAAAAAAAAAGGCAATTTCCTAAAAGACTCATTCAGTCATTTGGTGACTTGATAGGGAAAAGAGTGTGCAAATAATTACAACGTGAACATATAAATTAATGGCTCAACATAGATTTTGATCTTGTTGCAAAGAAAATCTAAGAAGCTGTGCCAGAAAAGGAGCCATCATATAAAAGAAAACTTGAGTATTAGAAGATCCATATTTCCATAATCACCAGTTACAAGGTTTAAAGTTCTTTCCTTGTCACTAAAAAATAAAACTAGACTTCTAACCTTCCATGAATATAAACAACAGAAATTTTTGAGGGTTACTCCAAGAAAAGAAAACATGCACGTTGGAATGATGCAACTAAACAATACCACAATAGAACTTAGCGAAAGACAGGTGTCAAACTGATATAAATTGCCTTACAGACTTCAAGCTGACTTTTATTTCCTTTTCTGCCAAGGTAGTAAAGAAAGGGTAGGCAGAGTGCCCAAGTGATTACCTGTTTGGTTGTGTTTTTGCATAAACCCAGCAAAATTTGGCAATCCAAAATGGAGTATAAAACCATGGTCTTCAATGCTTTTCACATACGCACTGAGAACCTGTACAACGTGTATGACATGGATAAGTTCTTTAATTACAATATTTGGCATTACGCAGAGCAACACAGGTTACAGTTTTAGAGTAAAAGCACACAGAAAAGCAGCAAAACTTACAACCTCTTCAACATAAATCAAGCAACCACAAAGTAGCAACAACAGAACAATCAGAAAAAGCATTAAGAGGCCAGTTCCCTCATCCCAAAAAGCTCACAATACTCTATAGCAGGAAAATAACCTCAACTTCATCACTTTTATTCAGAATTACTTCCAGACCACCATAAAAACTCTACTGACGCAAGAAACATAGAAGACAGCTTTTGCCACAACTCCCCAAAAATGACACAAGTACAGCTAAGCCACGAAGGTATTAAAAGCCATGCATCCCCGTGGCACCATAAGTTGCACGTGTGGGAGTGGTCATAGAAAATTTTAGATGTTTCTCCTTAACACACTCACGTGAAATAACAAGCAGATAATACATTGTGAGCTTTCATTTATTAGTTAAATATCACTGAAGCATACTACTTTTCCAGTTCATGCAGGTACATATAAATTGCAAATATCGAACTAAAATCCAACTAATTAACAATTTTATAGCCATAGTACCACGTTCAGTTCCAACTACTGAAGATAATAAATTTATTTGATACATAGATCAGTGAAGATTAGCCTAATGAGAATTTAGTTCTGACTATCAGAATCAGAACGATATTTACAGAAAAAGACAGCTATTACAAATGATCCTTCTTAAACATAAAGCAATGGTTCAAAGGGAAAAGGCAATATAAATTACATACCATTCCTTCTTGAATAACATCCAATGTCAATCTCTTCTGTAACAAAGAAAGACGCAGAGAAAGCCAAATCTTCCGTTTTGCTACTTCTTTTTTATCATCATCTAATCGCACAACTATACAAGAAACGAGCTGCCCAACGTGATATATGCTAGAAAGAAAGTTATTTTCTACATCCTGTCATAAAACAATTGTAATATCAATTATAAATGAAGAAAAAAATGATTTCAGTACCTTATGACTATTAATGATCTTTCTCCCAAAAAAAATATTACATGAAAAGTATATCAATTTTGATTTATTGAAAAAAGTTGACAAATGCAATCAGAAAGAAATTACTAGAAAATACCTCTTTTGCCTCATTACCAAAAACCGGGTCGAACGCTTCAGAAGCGCGAACTAATCCACGTAAGCCCCCTGGAAGACTAACTACAATATCTTTCTCATTCACTTCAGCAATCACTCCCCAAAGTTTCATTCCGACCGTAACATTCTGAAATGTAGAAAGAAAAACGTATTAACTTCATAGCTTTCCATGACAGATAACTAGCACAATGCATCATGTAAACCAAAAAGAGTGCCACGACATGGGTTTTTAGAGTATTGTAAGGGAGAAAACATCCTCCCCTATAAGGGTGAAAAATAAATGAACTGTAACAACTAATAACATCTAATAAATTGAATGGCATCCCTGTCCCATTCATTGAAAATGAAGTCAGGAAAAAAATGCACTTGAAATTATATTTCACATTATGTAGATTTTAGTAGGTGCATAGCAAGGCTAGTGTCAGGAATCTATAAGTTTAAAAAAGATGATGGGCAAGAAATACTACAGATATATTGAAAAGAAGAGAAGGTCATCCTAGCTACAGAACAAGAATGGAAGATTAGAAAGTAGCAAGTAGGTTGTGATTGCTTTATGGGGCTGAATGTTGATTGTCGGACATCTAAACTTAAGTACAATATTCGACTTACATAGGAATCATATGTTTAATTTAATCTTATACAGCTAATTTAGGTAGGACTTCAATACATATTGAAAGAGATGATGTTTCTGCCTCAACTTTTGCCCACTAGTCATCATTTTAACTTATCAAAGGAGATTAACTAATGCACGAGCATGCTTGAAATGGGGTAGGCTTATTATAGATCAAACGGGGGCCTGATTTACCATCTCCAACCCAACCTTAAAGAACAAACAAAAGGATAGTGACCACTCTCCTCCAATTATAATATCTCATTAAAATATACGATGTCTGATATAATCAAGACAAATCCAACTGCCCAAGCCAAGTTAGAAACTCAACCGAAAAAGAAGGGAGAAAAGTTATAAAAACCATACCTTTAATGTAATCTTGTTGGCAAACCTAGGCAATTTTCCTGAGATTCCATCTCCAAAAAGTGAACCAAAATCGTCCTCTGAGGATTGATTTTTGTTCTGCACTCTACTTTCCTTCTTCCTCTTCTTCAACAATCTATGTTCTGCCTCAAACTCCATGTCCACCTCTGCTCTTACTTCATCGAGCTCTCCTCTACTCAATGAACTTCCCCCACCTTATAAACCCCAAAAAAAAGTATACAAACACGTGCATAAGTTTTAAAATAATAAGCACTGGCTTTGATATTTAAGAAACAAGTTAACATAAGCACATAGATAGAAAGAGAACCTCGGGGAAAGTCAGGAACATCATCTTCAAGCTGGAGAGAAGAGGCATGCTGTGAAGAAACGGCGTCATTTGAGATGTTTCGTCTTTTGGTTAGGTTTTCTTGATGTTTAGAGGGATTCCTAGATTTAGGCCCCATTGGGCAATGGAAAGCTGCAGGCGATTGCGTCCAGGGGCGGAGCCAGGAAATTGGTTCAGGGTGGGCACAATTTAGTCGACTCCGAGCTTTGACTTTTTGGTCATGAATTTAATGATGATAAAAAAAATAAAACAATGTTACGACAATACTAAAAATGGTATAGTTTATAAATTATACTTGTTCTTTGCGAGTTTTCATACTTTGATATCATTGTACAATAACTTAATACCGAAAGCGAAAGCAAAAGCAAGTTAAGCCCAAATCAAGTATCAAGTAAAATCAAGTCAAATACTCTCAATGAAGTTCACCAAACTCTAATGAACTTTTGTGCTTATTGGAGTAGTCATTCGCACCCCGTTACTTGACTTTAATTATGCCGTAGTATAGCTCAAACAGCCAAAATTTGGTTAAAAAAGGGAACGGCAGTAAAGAAGTGGCCAGCATTTGGATCAAACAAGATAATTACGTGTCCTCTCCATCTCAGGGGGCATGAAGGACACGGGAAAAGACACAAATACTAGGATTAACTGAACACCAATTATTGTAAAATACCAAAACCTAAAACCTTGAATGATCTACCCTTAAGTAAACCTAATAATGGAGTAAGTGACAAAATTATTCCAACTTATTCCTCTCCAACGGATAAGGGAGTAGTAATAGCAGACATTGAACAGACATGATCTAGGAATTACAGAATTGAAAAAGGAGACTTGATGATATAATTGATTGTAATGTCAAAAAGACAACAAAGAAATTAGCTTTCTCATGATCTGTTTAAGTTTCAAGGGGAGCCTAACACCTTAACCCCCACCCTCAACAACATAGTCAGTAGTCACCGCGGCAAACCCAGCATTCCAAATCAACAATGCCCAAAGATTAGTTAGAATGAGACAGAGACAGGGACTACAGACTACACAAATTTCTTGAAAAAAAATTGACAAATCAATTTGATTAGCATTCCAATTCAACAATACACAAACTTCATCAATTTCAACTCAACAATACCCAAACTTCACCAATTTCAACTCAACGATTTCAGCCATATCTACTCAGCACTCAGGCCTCAGCAGTCAGAATTCACCATTCAGCAATACCATTCCAATACCCAAATTTCAACAATACTCAATTTCAATTCCATAACAGACAACATAGAAAAATGAGCAATAACTGAACATAGAAAAAGGACCAATTTCATCTCAAGACTCAAGCTACTATCACCAATAATCCAATTGCAAAAGAAATTAAGAAAATACCTGATCCGGGGGAGGAGAGAACAGAGAAGTCACTGCAGACAGGGGCGGAGGCTGGAGCCTGGAGAAAAATCCAAATCTCATAAATTAAAGATTTCATTTTTCTCAACCAACACAAAAAAAAAACTCAAGGGAGAAACAAGAAAAGAAAAGAAAGGAAAAGAAAAGTATTTTCTACCTTCTGCAGTTCTGCGTGCGATTGCGGAGGCTGCGAAGTTCTGTGTGGAAGTTCTGGACGGCGGTTGTTGAGCGGAGGCTGCGAAGATGCCGGAGTTGAGGTGCGAGCTGCGAAGATGCCGGAGCTTCAGGCTGCGAACCAGTGGTCAGTGGAGGAGCTGTGGAGGCGGAGGCGGAGCAGGAGCAGGTGCAGTCGAGCAGAGGAGAGGAGAGGAGAGGATGGAGTTGTGACTGATTTGTGAATTGTGAACGAGGTTTAAATTTTTGGAATTGGGCTCAAAGTTTTGGGCCTTTTTCACTTGGGCTGGACTGGGACGGTAGGACTTCTATAATAACTAAAAAAAAAAAAATTGAGCTCAAAAAAAATTTTGAGCCCAGAAGCGCCGGGAGAGAAGGTAGAGAGACCAAGGTTTAAGGATTGAGATTTGGAGGATTTGGGTTGGGTTAAAATATTAAAAATTTGGGATTGGACTGAAATGGACTAGGGCTACAGACGGGTCATGGACTTGGCATCAATCTATGACAATTCGCTCTGCCCCGTTTCTCTCTCATTATTCCAAGGGAAAAATTCACAAGGCATTACGGTCTGTTTTATTGCAATTGTGGAAAATGAGTGGAAAAAAATGAATTTCAAAGAAAATCATTACTTAGAACTTTTTTTCAGGAAATTGTTAATTAAGTGTGTTTGATTTGTATAATTTTCCACCTGAAAAATTTTAAAATTTTGGATCTTTTTGTATTCGTTTGGTTTTGTTTTACATGGAAATTGTCCATTGAAATGATAATTTTTTCCACAATTGGTTATAAAATTTGTTTCCATTGCCAAAAAGTAAAAATATATATATATTTCCTAGAAAATCGTTTTTTATCAAAGTTTAATGTTCATTTGACTTTGTTTTTTATGGAAATTGTCCATTAAATAGATTTTTTTTTACAATTAGAAATAAAATTTGGTGTCATTGCCCCCAAAAAAAAGGTGGGGAAAGGTTTTCATCATTTTGGAAGAAAAAGTGCACGTGTGAGATAAAACAAGAAAAACATTTGCCAAGAAAAAAAACTATCAAACACTAAAAAAGTGGGACATGGAATTGGTATCCTATCAAACAGGGCCTAAGGGTCCGTTTGATTCAAAAATGGAATTTTGGTGGAAAGAAAACGAATTGCAAGGAATTAAATTGTCTAGAATTTGTTTTATTGGGAAATGTCAATTAATTGTGTTTGATTGATATAATTTTCCTCATGAAAAATGTTGAAATTTTCTATCTTTTAGTGTTCGTTTGGCTTTGTTTTTATGAAAATTGTCAATTAAAGGAATATAATTTCTTACAATTTGGGATATAATTTGTTTGGATTGCCAAAAAAAAAAAA